AGCATAGCATAGCATAGCATAGCCTAGCCTAGCCTAGCCTAGCCTAGCCTAGCCCAGCATAGCATTGCACAGCATTGCACAGCATACCATAGCATAGCATAGCATAGCACAACCACTATTGCTGCTGCTGCTGCAACGCAAAAACAAATGCATTGCAAACGCTGTAGATGTAGATGTGAGTCTCGCTGTTGATGTGGATGTAGATGTAGACGCAGGTGTAGAGGTAGATGTAGCTGTAGGTGTAGATGTATATGTAGGTCTAGATGTAGATGTAGGTGTCGATATAGATGTAGGTGTAGATATAGATGTAGATGTAAAGAACTCCCCAGTGCCCCGCCCTCATCTCCGTGCCTGCTTGCTTTTGCTGCTGTCTCGGCGACTTGCTGCCTGCTTCTGCTGCTGCTTCACTTACGGCGTGGCGTCGGCGGTTCTGGCGCTACTACTACTACTACTACTACTACTACTACTACTACTACTACTACTACTACTACTACTACTACTACTACTACTACTACTACTATTACTACTACTACTACTACTACTACTACTACTACTACTACTACTACTACTACTACTACTACTACTACTACTACTACTACTACTACTACTACTACTACTACTACTACTACTGCTACTGCTACTTCTACTACTACTACTACTACTACTACTACTACTACTACTACTACTACTACTACTACTACTACTACTACTACTACTACTACTACTACTACTACTACTACTACTACTACTACTACTACTACTACTACTACTACTACTACTACTACTACTACTACTACTACTACTACTACTACTACTACTACTACGACTACTACTACTACTACTACTACTACTACTACTACTACTACTACTGCTACTGCTACTGCTACTGCTACTGCTACTGCTACTGCTACTGCTACTACTACTACTACTACTACTACTACTACTACTACTACTACTACTACTGCTACTACCGCTACTACCGCTACTGCTACTACTACCGCTACTGCTACAACTACGACGATGAGGAGAATGAGGAGGACGGCGTTTACCGCTCCTACTAATTTTGCTTTTCTAGAGGCTCCACCTCCTAGGTAGGGTCGCACTGGGATAATTACCTAACAGCGAAGACTGATAGGTTTCTAGTGGGATCAAAAGAGAGCAGCAGATCACTCCACAGGGGGGTCCGGGCAGGTGTTGGGAGTTGCCGGGCGGCAGGTGCCGGGCTCGTTTTTCACCAACAGTCACACACTTCGTGCTCTTCGACTTCCCAGAACTCCATTCCCAGGCCACATTCTCAATACCCGGATGCAACAGTCACACACTTCGTGCTCTTCGAGATCCCAGAACGCCATTCCCGGGCCACATTTAGAATAACCGGATGCAACAGTCACACACTTCGTGCTCTTCGAGTTCCCAGAACTCCATTCCCGGGCCACATTTTGGATGCCCGGAGCAACTGTACCACTTCGTGCTCTTCGAGTTCCCAGAACTCCATTCCTGGGCCACATTTTGATGCCCGGAGCCAACTGTAGGCCACTTCGTGCTCTTCGACTTCCCAGAACTCCATTCCCGGGCCACATTTTGGATGCCCGGAGCCAACTGTAGGATTCGAGTTCCCAGAACTCCATTCCCGGGCCACATTTTGAATGCCCCGAGCCAACTGTAGGCCACTTCGTGGTCTTCGAGTTCCCAGAATTCCATTCCTGGGCATGATTTTGAATGCCCGGAGCCAACTGTAGGCCACTTCGTGTTCTTCGAGTTCCCAGAATTCCATTCCCGGGCCACCTGAGGAGGCTTTGAGGCAGGCTGAGGCTGAGGCAGGCTGAGGCTGAGGCTGAGGCTGAGGCAGGCTGAGGCTGAGGCTGAGGCTGAGGCAGGCTGAGGCTGAGGCAGGCTGAGGCTGAGGCCGAGGCTGAAGGCAGACTGAGGCTGAGGCTGAAGCAGGCTGAGGCTGAGGCTGAGGCAGGCTGAGGCTGAGGCTGAGGCAGGCTGATGCTGAGGCAGGCTGAGGCTGAGGCTGAGGCTGATGCAGGCTGAGGCTGAGGCAGGCTGAGGCTGAGGCGAGGCTGCAGGCTGAGGCTGAGGCTGAGGCAGGCTGAGGCTGAGGCTGAGGCAGGCTGATGCTGAGGCAGGCTGAGGCTGAGGCTGAGGCTGATGCAGGCTGAGGCTGAGGCAGGCTGAGGCTGAGGCCGAGGCTGAAGGCAGACTGAGGCTGAGGCTGAAGCAGGCTGAGGCTGAGGCTGAGGCAGGCTGAGGCTGAGGCTGAGGCAGGCTGATGCTGAGGCAGGCTGAGGCTGAGGCTGATGCAGGCTGAGGCTGAGGCAGGCTGAGGCTGAGGCCGAGGCTGAAGGCAGACTGAGGCTGAGGCTGAAGCAGGCTGAGGCTGAGGCTGAGGCTGAGGCAGGCAGGCTGAGGCAGGCTGAGGCTGAGGAGGCAGGCTGAGGCTGCAGGAGGCTGAGGCCGAGGCTGAGGCAGACTGAGGCTGAGCAGGCTGAGGCTGAGGCTGAGGCAGGCTGAGGCTGAGGCTGAGGCAGGCTGATGCTGAGGCAGGCTGAGGCTGAGGCTGAGGCTGATGCAGGCTGAGGCTGAGGCAGGCTGAGGCTGAGGCCGAGGCTGAAGGCAGACTGAGGCTGAGGCTGAAGCAGGCTGAGGCTGAGGCTGAGGCTGAGGCAGGCTGAGGCTGAGGCTGAGGCAGGCTGAGGCTGAGGCTGTGACTGCGACTGCCGTTGCCGCTGCGACTGTCATCGCGAATGCGACTACGACTGCGAGAACAGCAGAATTCTACAACTGGGTTCTCATCCGAATCTTACGGGGAATGCTTCCAGATATGCTCCTACACATCGCTGTTAGGTTGCTTTGCCGGGATAATTGTTTCAAGTTCTCCCCCTGTGTACTCTTGCACAACTGACAACAATGAAGGCCCGCGTCACCAAGCAAGAAAGATCCAGGGAGCCCTCGAGGGCCCAACTTCCCCGAATACTTACAGGGAAATTGATAATTCTGGCGTTGTTGTATTTTCCTTTCTAATACGCTTCTGAGGCTTGCGCAGGGCCTCCAAGAGAGTCCTTAGATGCAGGGAACGTCAATCATGATATTCCATGTGTTCGTCTATCCAGCTAGAAATTCTTTACGCTTCGCGTATCCCCACCAGCCCATCTCACAGCAGCAACTCTCGCGAAGCATGCCGACAGTCGTGTTTTTTAGGCGTGTGTCCGCTTGGCCCCGCATATCTCACCTGTTCCTCCTTCCTCCCGCCTCCTTGTACATCCTCCTTGTGAGGGGAGCGGGAGAAGGACGAGGCGGAGGAGGAGGGAGAGAAAGCGCTCCTCGTGATTTGAGTCGTTTGGGGTTTCTCGTCCTGGTGTGAGTCGTTCGGGCCCTTCTTCCTGGTGTGAGTCGTTCGGGCTCTTCGTGGTGTGAGTCGTTCGGGCTCTTCGTCCTGGTGTGAGTCGTTCGGGCTTCTCGTGGTGTGAGTTGTTCGGGCCCCTCATCCTGGTGTGAGTCGTTCGGGCCCCTCCTCCTGGTGTGACTCGTTCGGGCTCCTCGTGGTGTGAGTCGTTCGGGGCCCGCGTCGTGGTGTGAGTCCTTCGGGCTCCTCGTGGTGTGAGTCGTTCGGGCGCCTCGTCCTGGTGTGAGTCGTTCGGGCCCCTCCTTGTGGTGTGAGTCGTTCGGGCTCTTCGTGGTGTGAGTCGTTCGGGCCCCTCGTCCTGGTGTGAGTCGTTCGGGCTCCTCGTGGGGCCTCTTGGGGGCCTCTTGGAGCCTCGTGGGGCCTCTTGGGGGCCTCTTGGGGGCCTCTTGGGGGCCTCGTGGGGCCTCTTGGGGCCTCTTGGGGGCCTCTTGGGGGCCTCTTGGGGGCCTCTTGGGGCCTCGTGGGGCCTCTTGGGGGCCTCTTGGGGGCCTCTTGGGGGCCTCTTGGGGCCGCTTGGGGGCCTCTGGGGGGCCTCTTGGAGGCCTCTTGGGAGCCTCCTGGGGGCCTCTTGGGGCCATCTTGGGGCCTCTTGCGACCTCCTCAGAAGCGCAAATGAGAGCTGCCCCCTGAGAAGGACAAAATGAGCCCAAAACCTTCGTAAAATCAATGATTTTGCTATGAGGGAAGATGAGCGCGGCCCCCTCAGAAGGCCAAAATGGGGCCAACACCCTCGTAAAATCAATGATTTCTGCTTCAAAGACGAGCAGAGGGGCCAAACTCCCCCCCCCCGTCGGGGCCAGAATCCTCGTGAGGGTCGTCGTTTTTTGGCCCTCCCAGGAGTCGAAATGGACCCCCCTGAGAACGCTCGGCCCGCCCTCTCCAGGTCCAGGGGAGGGGGTAGGGGGAGGGGTAAACCCCTCCCCGAAGGGGAAGAAGGGGGGTTGAGAACAGAGAGAGCTCCCTAAACCACTCACGCCCAAAGGGCTGGTGGGATTGAGCGCGCGCGAAGTGCGCGCGATGGTTCTAGTTCTAGTATATCGATCATGTGTATATATTTACGTTTCCATACACACATCTATATACATAGATATATCAGAGTAGGTCTCGGGCGGGCCCGGGACCGAGACCCTGGGTACACATGGGTGCCGCAGGGGCTCCAGGGGCGCCTTCGTGGCTCCCCAAAGTGGCCTCCTTGTTGCACAGAGGGCCCACAAATTGGTACGACAGTCTACCAGACTGGGTCTAGCACGCCCCGAGAGCACCGAAGATATTTTCTGAACGGCCTCCGAAGGCTTCCAGGTTGCGCCAGGATGGCCCCGGGCAAGCTTCACAGGGCGCCCGAGGCCCCAGACGAGTGCCCCCGAGAGGCAATAATCATTCATTTCGCTAGGGTTTCTCACGTTTCCGGTGCCCTTTCTTTGCACACGGTCTGACACTCGGCCCACGAGGCCTCCCACGCCGCCTCAGGACGGGCCCAGCGGCCCCCAGGAAGTCCCCAGGACGGCACACCAGGGCTGCATGACGCACCCAGGGGTGCCCAAGACGGCCCACGAGGCCTTCAAGACGGCCCCAAGAGGGCCTCCAGAGGGAGTGCATGAACCGAAATGTCGAGTCTCTTGCCCCATGACGCCCTGGAGGCCTCAAGGAGGCGCCAGGACTGCCTCGGGCAGTCTCCAAAGGGTGCCCAAGACCACAGACACAAGTGCGACCCCATCTCAAGTGGCCGACCGTGCCAAACCATGTTGCCAGCCATGCAGATATGTGGCGTCGCAGCTTGATTTGAAACTGCAGTCAAGGCGCACTACCATCTCGCACATGGTATATGTTACATCGCGTGCAATCGTTTTCACCATGCTAGATAGGGCGTATCGCCCTCTGAGTTTTCCTCGTCTTGAACGGAGGCTGAGGAGTTTCACCTGACACTTTGCGAACCCCGCTAAGGGCAGGACGGTGAGCGCCAACCCGAGAGGGCGCGCGACTTCAGACTGTTGCTCGACACCCGGAAGGCAGTTCTTTTGTTACAGCTCCTCCAGGATGGTGCCTTCCCCGTCGGCCTACTCCCTCTCCTCCTCCTCCTCCTCCTCCTCCTCCTCCTCCGCCTCCCGCTACTGCCTATGGTTGGGTCCTTCGCCAGGGTAGTGTTTATTTTTAGAGTGGAGTTTAGGTTATATGTTACTGCGCGCAGCCTGGGCGGCCCTCTTCGCACAGCGCGGCGATCCAGCCAGCCAGCACGGCACGATATCGCTGATCGTTGTTCGGGGCGCACGTGGCTCGTTGGGGCATGCGGGAAAGCGCACGCCCCAGCAGTGTACAGCAGCCTTGCGGCTCCGAGGCATGGCCCGAGTCTCGACGCTGTAGTTCCAGACGAATGCGCGACAAATATCGCGTCGTCTTTCTGACTTAGAGCAACAAAAGCCTCTCAGAGTCAACCGCGGGACGTCTTCCTGCCTTTTTTGTTGGAGCTGTGCTTGGCCGCGGCCACGCGTGGACCGCCTCCTCCTCCTCCTCCTTCTCCTTCTCCTTCTCCTCCTCCTCCTCCTCCGTCTCCTCCTCCTTGTCCTCGAGCCACTGCAGAAAGAGCATGGGAATCCATGAGCGAAAGACGTGCTGCCGTTTTCCGGGTGGTGGTGTGTCCCCTGTCCCTTACAGTCAGCCCGCATAGTTCGGATGGGCAACCTTCCCAAGGGTACCCCTGCATCCCCGCCTCCTCGGTCTATCCTTCGCCTCTTTCGTCGGCGCGCCCCGCTCGAGAAGCTTCGAAATGGGCGTCCAGGGCCCTTGCATCCGTATCGCGCATCCTTATTACACGGGGTGACTGTAGGTCCGAGGGCCTCGTCGCGGGGCGCCTCTGGCCCAGCCGAGGCCGATCGTCCCTCGGCGGGTGCCCCTTGGGAGGCGCCTCCTGGGAGGCGCACCCTGCCGGCAGCAGAGGGGAGGCTGTCAAGTTGGCCTCAGAGGCAGCGCGACAGTGCCTCGGACCCCAAGGCAGATGGAGAGGAAGCGGTGGAGGAGGAGGAGGAGGCGAGGGATGGGGGGCGACATGCGAACCCTACCCCTACCCCCCACGATTTCTGGGGGGGAGGGGTAGGGTTCGCAAGTGGCCCCCTATTGGAGGTGGATGGGGTGGATGCACACGAAGTGGCTTTCGTTCGCTAGGCTTGCCTGCCCACACTCACGCTGGTCCGCTCGCGGAGGCACTACCCAGCGCGCGTGCGCGCCAGGGCTCGCCGAGGAGACAACTGGCGGGGGGACCGATCGCCGCCGGCGCCGTCCAGACCTTAAGCGGTGGGCGGGTAGTCGCTGCTGCGCTCGCGTGCAGGGCGAGGCGGCGGGGTCGGAGCCGAGGCTTCGGTGCCGTACGCGCACCCTGGCCGATTGGAGGCCGCGCGGCCCAGGCTTGGGGGGCAGTGGCGCCCATGCCCGGGGTTTCCTGGGTTTCGATGGTTTTGCGATGGAGAGCGCGACGGTCCCACACCAAGAATCAATGGACGCCCTGGGGTCTCAGGGTTGGGTTTTTTGTGGGAGGTTGTTTGGGGACTGGTTTCCACCGTACATGCGCCCGATCGTGAGCGGGGAAGCAGGGCCCTCAGCTACCAGGCAGCGTTTGGCTTTACACCGCGCCTCAAAGTGCCAAAGGGGCACGGTGGCGGTTTCGGCGGCTGGCACGTCCACGGTTGTGTGGTGGCTGCTTCGGCGTTCAGGCCTTTTTCCTGATTCCTCCAAGCATCTCCAGCTGTGGAACAGCGAGCCACCCGACATCGATGTCGAGGGGTCGTTTGAGTACCTATCACAGTGAGATCACTCCAGAGCCAGCGTGTTTCGCCGACCAGCGCGTAGATCCATCAGCAGTTACCCAGTCGCGCTCGCCCTTCGGTCCTCCCCAGCAGCGCTGTTGCAGGTGTGTTTTTCTGGCGCAGCCTCGAGTTTGCTCTCCTTGCCTCGAGCCCATTCGCGTTCTGGCTGAGGTTTACTCAAGGGCTCCCATGAGGGCGCGAAGTTATTCGCGCTTCGCGCTTCGCGGTCCTCGTTCCTTCTCCCCCTCCTCCTCGTCCTCCTTTTCTCCCTTTGGGGGGGCGGCGCGAGAGCGCGAAGTTATTCGCGCTTCGCGCTTCGCGGAGCGCGAAGCGCGAAGTTGGGAGCCCTAGTTTACTGCGCGGAGCTGGCGTGGGTCACCCGCCGTGTGACGCCTGCCCCGCGAGATGCCTCACGGAGCACGAGCGGAGCGCTGGTGCAGGCATGCGGAAGACTCGTGGCGCGCCAGTTCTGAGAATAAACATCGGGGGTGGACAGAACCCCCAATAGTGACACGTCGATTAGTGAATTGTCCGTTTTCGGTTCTCGAGAGGGCGTTGAGGCCGTCAATTACCAGGCTTGCGCCCGCCAGGTTTGGGCCCGAGGTCGTTTTCACTAAACCACGTTTTACTAAAGGGGGTTCTGTCCATCCCCGATCTGAGAGTAAACAATTGAAAGCCAATGGGTTGTTTAGTTCTGTCTTCAAAGGGCAAGCGTTGTGGAGGACGATCAATGCCAAGGGCTCCCCCGAGGGCGCGAAGTTATTCGCGCTTCGCGCTTCGCGGTCCTCGTTTCTCCTCCCCCTCCTCCTCGTCCTCCTCTTCTCCCTTTGGGGGGGCGGCGCGAGGGCGCGAAGTTATTCGCGCTTCGCGCTTCGCGGAGCGCGAAGCGCGAAGTTGGGAGCCCTAGGTTCTGAGAATCAACAATTGAAAGCCAATGGGTTGTTTAATTCTGTCTTCAAAGGGCAAGCGTTGTCAAGGGCGCCCTCGAGGGCGCGAAGTTATTCGCGCTTCGCGCTTCGCGGTCCTCGTTCCTTCTCCCCCTCCTCCTCGTCCTCCTTTTCTCCCTTTGGGGGGGCGGCGCGAGAGCGCGAAGTTATTCGCGCTTCGCGCAGCGCGAAGCGCGAAGTTGGGAGCCCTAGTGAAAGCCAATGGGTTGTTTAATTCTGTCTTCAAAGGGCAAGCGTTGTGGAGGACGATCAATGGAGAGGAATCCTGCTGCCGGACAACTTCCAGACGTCTAGAACATGTGTTACGACTGTTTTAAACATGTAACAACATGCTGTAAACATTAGCATGATATTTTCCGACACTTTGAACACATGTTCGATTCGATGATAGGACTGTCAGGGTGTCCATTGTCGTGGCATCCGCAAGCCAGGCGCTTCGCTCGAGACATCCTCAACAACATGCTGCCGGACAGGCAAGATGCTACTGTTTCCTGAACTTGCGCGGGCAGTGGACTGCCCCTGCTGTCGGCGAAGGGAGCAGGCGACGAGAACGAGGAGGCGGAGGCAGGGGCGCCGAGGCGGAGGAGTACGAGCGGCAGCAGGAGGATCGGGAGCAGTATCAGGGTCAGTGCAGTGCTCGCGTAAGTTCAGCGCTCCGTTTGAACTGGCGCGGGTAGTGAACTCTGTTTTTTTTTGTCAACTCCTGGGGGTGCGCCTGTGGGGCAGTTGATCTCGATGGTGTTTGAAGTGCTTTGTCAGGATGTCTCGACCCTGCCACCCACTCCGGTGAAGACTGGTTCTTTCCAGGGCGCTGAGTGGTTTCCTAAACTTGCGCGTCAAGTGAACTGCGCCGAGGGCGAGGAGGTAGGCGACGAAGGCGAGGATGCGGAGACATGGGCAAGCATATTTTGTGCGCCAGTTCAGCGCCGCGTGTGAACTTTCGGGGGTAGTGAACGACTGGGAACAGCGCCTATGCTACAGTTGATGTCATTGTTGGTGCACGCTCTTGCCATGCTCTTCGATTCCACGCGCTTCCCGTTCATGTCAGGCAACAGTTGCCCAGAATGGGCGTGTTGCTCGAGACGTGCTCACTAAATGGAGATGCTGGAGGCTATCCCTTAAGACGTTAAATGTTTAAACATGGCGATATCGCCAGAGGCATCCTCGGAAATCGGGGATGTTGAACTCGATGGTCTAATCTTCGGTTTTTCTAACATGCGACATCCTCGCAATAATGGTATGCGCCAAGAGCTGTTTTGAGAGATCTTTTTGGGGCGCTCTTGGATGGTCTCTAAGATGGCCCAAGGGGCGAACCTATTTCAACACACATTGCCTTTTTTCAAAATACGTTTGTTTCAAAGTAAACGTTTCGCTCGAGCAATCCCCCTCAACATGCCTTCGAACGTGCTTCGCTCGAGACATCCTCAACAACATGCTGCCAGACAGGCAAGACGATACTGTTTCCTGAATTTGTGCGGGCAGTGGATTGCCCCTGTTGTCGGCGAAGGCAGCAGGCGACGAGAGCGATGAGGCGGAGGCAGGGGCGCCGAGGCGGAGGAGTACGAGCGGCAGCAGGAGGATCAGGAGCAGTAGCAGGGTCAGTTTACTACCTGCGTAAGTTCAGCGCTCCGTTTGAACTGGCGCGGGTAGTGACTTGGCATCGCTCGGACGTGTGTATTTTTGGGGGGCAAGAGCCGCCGAGGAGCATTCGGGGTCATCCTGCGAAAGCATACGCCCACGAAGCCGCACATGCATGAGGAAAGGACGTCCGAGCGATGGCGAGATGAGCTCTACCTTTTTTGTTTGTTGACTTCTGGGGGTGCGCCTGCGGTGCAGTTGATATCGATGGTGTAGCATTTTTTGGCGAGTTTTTGGAAGTTTCATGCTCACCTTCAATAGGGAAGTTTATGATGTGCGCCAGTTCAGCGCCACGCGTGAACTTTCGGGGGCAGTGAACTCCACCTCGTACCCCGTGTGGACGTTCGGGACGAGCGCTTTGTCACAGTTGATCTCACTGTTGGTGCATGCTCTTGCCATGATCTTCAATTTTACGCGTTTCCCGTTCATGTCAGGACAAGGTTGCTCAGAATGTGCGGTTCGCCTGAGACATCTTCGTAGCAATGGAATGTTTAAAGAGTTGCTCTGGGACGGCTCATTCAAACAGCGAGCGTTTTGCCTGAGACATTCTCTGACCATGGGGATGCTGACATCGTTGTCTAACCTTCGGAAATTCAAGCATGGCCGTTTGGCCTGAGACATCCTCGAAACATTGGGATGCGCTAAGAGCTGTCTTGAGACATCGTTTGCGGAGTGCTCTTGCATGACCTCCAATATGACCCAACCCGCGCAACTATTTAAACACACATTGGTTTTCAACACTTGTGCTTAAACGTAAGCGTATCGCTCGAGGCATACCCTTCACTTTGCCTTCGGACGGATCCTCGAAACCATCAGATCATGATGGGGATGTTGGTGATGGTGATGACGACGATGATGGTGATGATGACGAATCTGGTGATGATGACGAATCTGTTGACGCTGAGGTCCTTGATGATCTTGTTGCGGGATCTTGCGTCTGCGTTGTGCTTCGCGTGAGTCGCGTACGTAGGGTCCGACTATTGAATTGGAAGTTCTCCAGAATGGCCATTTGGCTTGTGACATCCTCACAGACGCCTTACGCAACACATGCATCTCTCGCTGCAGGCATCCTCCAGAACTTGAGATGTGGAAATAGCTCGCGAAATGCTCGGTTTTTCGAACATGAAGCTCTTGTCTGCGACATCCTCGAAACAAAAAGATGTAAGCATGTGTTGAGGACATCGTTAATACATTAACCCTCCAACTTGAACGCTCCAACGCGAACGTCTCCACATTACGGTTTCTTATCGTGGGATTTTCACGTTCGCGGGCGCAACGTGTAGATTCCTACGTTCACTACAACGGGGATCTCCACTTCAACGTCCTCCGAGGACGCGAGGGGGAAGCAGAGAGAGACCGAGAGAGAGAGAGAGAAAGAGATATGATGGTGATGATGGTGGTGATGATGATGATGACGATGATGGTCGCGCCTATTTGTTCGATATCTCAAAACAAGCGTTTCGGTCGAGACATCTCAAAAGATGAAAAGATGAAAGATGAAAGTAATTCAAACCCATTGTGGTTTGACATATTCTTGGACTTCACCTGAAACTGCGCGGATAATGAACTCCAACTGGTATCACCGTGGACGTTCGGAGAGAGAGCCTGCGCTACAATTGACCTTGTTGCTGGTTATTTTCTTGTCCAGTTCGCTCGAGGCATGTTTAAAGCTACCTTCGTACGGGTCTTCGAACAGATGAAAGTCATGTAACACCATGATGTTTTTCAACGTTCTGAGGGTTTGACTGAACTTGCGCGGGTAAGGAAGTCCACCTGATTCCCCCCGCGGACGTCTGGGAAGAGCGGCTTCATTACATTGCAGTTGATCCCGATGTTGGTGCATGTCCTTGCTAAGCTCTTCGATTCCACGCGCTTCCTGTTCATGGCAGGGAAGGTTTTTGATCTGTGTCACCCAAAGAGAAACCAACTCCATGAACATGCGCTTTCGACGCTCCGCGTGGATTCCTTGGATCGGCTTTGGGCTTCCTAGCGGCGCCTCTGGCGCCGCCCCTGGCGCGCTCCGCACGTTAGGGAGGGTGGTCCATCTAGGCCTCCTAGACGGGATCGGAGTAGATAGGGTCGGAGGATCGCACCGCATCGGCGACGCATCGGCGATGCATCGGCGATGCAGCTCGATGTGGGGCCCAATGTTCTCTGCGCCTACGCCGACGTCGCCGGTGCATCGCCGACGTCGCCAGTGCATGGCCGATGCATCGCCGATGCATCGGCGATCCATCACCAATGTATCGCCGAGGCGACGAGATCCTCCGACCCCATGTGTTCGGACCCCATTTTGGAGGCCTCTAGCCCAGCGCCGGTCCGAGAAGCCCGCGCGGGCCTCAGAGCTGTTGTGTGCTTCTCTTGCCGAGCCGTGCGAGAGAAGGCCTGGCCTCTGCGCTGTCCCCGCCCGGGCTCACCGCCGCCTCTGGCCTCGGCCGCCAGCGGGCAGGATATCGGAGGCCTAGAGGTTGACACCAACACCAATATCGGTGGTGTGCCTCCACCGAGGGCAGATGATCATGGTTTCGGTGATGGTGGTGATATAGGTGCTGCCGAAACAGTAACACCAACACCAATATCTAGGATTATCTTCCTCTGGTGAAGGCAATCTGTTTTGGTGTTGGTGCCCATGTTCAGGCCTCGAAGGATAGTGCCTCTAGGAGGCCACGTGCGAACCACACCCCACCACCCCACGAGTTCTAACGGTGGAGGTGGGGTTCACTTCGCTCGGGACGTGGCCTCCTGGTCCCCATAGGTAGCCATCGAGGAGCAGATCTCTAGGCCTCCCAGATGGGGTCGGAGCAGATGGGGTCGAAGGATCGCGCCGCATCGCCGATGCATCGCCCATCGGCTCGATGCACAGCCCGATGTTCCTCCCTGGGCTCGCCGCGATTCTCGGCTGCTAACGTCCCTTGCCACCAACGAAAATACGTCAGGGGTGGGTAGGGGCGAAAAAACAGGCAAACAGCCTCAGACACCCCCACCAACTGTTGGCGCGAATCCTGGCGTGTCCCGACCCGTGGCGCCCCCCCTTGGGGTGCTCAAGGGCCACGCCTGCGACGTCGCGGTGAGCACCTGGACCACCGAAGAGAGAAGTCGGGGGGCCGAACCGAGGCAGCCGCTTCCTCCTCCTCCTCCTCCTCCTCCTCTTTCTCCTCGTCCTGGCACGTGTGTGATGTTAGTCGGCGGCGAGCGAGGGGGGAAGCGAGAAGAAGGAGGCCTTCTTAGAAGGCGGCGGGGCTTCTCAGAAGGCCTCGCGCCCTCTCGGAGGTCTTCGGCGTCCTCGGGGGAGGCTTGGGGAATTGTTGAAAAGGTCCAGGGGCTTCGAGCCTTCTGAGAAGGCCCGCCCCTTCTCAGTTTTCCCCCAGGCACGCTGCCGAATTTACAACGCTGTGTTTTTCGTTGTCCAGATCGTAATGTTTGCAGTTTCGGGTTATTTTGTTTGTTCATCTGTTTGTTTTGGAGTTTCGCTCGCGCAGTTTGTGGTTCGCCGTCGTTTTGTATTTCAGTGTGTTGTTGTTGTCGTTTCGGCTGTCACTCGGGTTCCTGTGTTGGCTGGTCGGAACCGAAACGATGAACGAGGAAGAACGCCCCCAGCGTTTGTAACATCAACTGAGTGCATGCCTCGTTTCTACAGTGGAAGCCCATGCCAAGAAACACCCAGCCTGCCTCCAGGGTGCCCTGGATGCCTTGGATTTTTCGATGGTTTTGCCATGGAAGGCGTGACGCTCCCAATCCAACAATCAATGGACGTCCTGGGGTCTCAGGGTTGGGTTTCTTATGGAAGGTTTCTTGTGGTCGAGCTCCTACTTTGATTATTGTTCCCCATTAATCTACACCCCCTCTTCCAGGCGACAGGCAGCCAACCATGAACCATGATCCCCCCCCACCATCACTGACAAAAACAGTGCAAAACGCGTTCTGTCTCCACATTTGGAGCACGCGAGGCCAACCCGATGCGCCCCGCCAAGATCTCTGTCAAAAACAATACAACGTACAATGTTGGGCAAAGTCTGGAGTCATTTTTGTAAGGCCCGCGAGCACTTTGTATTGTTTGTTTAACAGGGACGGCGGGGGTGTCAGCATATTATTGCCTGCTGCGCGCTGGGCTGCCATCCCTGACAAGCAACAATACAACATGCACCTCGCGGCGAAATCTGGATCATGCGTGGCCGCCCCGCGATCGCTGTCACGTGGTGGCGTATGGCCTGCTGTGCGCAGGCCCACCAGGCACAATGATGGCATTGGTTTTCGACATGGATAGTGAGGGTCGACATGTTTCCCGATGTGTGCTGTCACTTGCGCAGACAAATCTGGCGCGGCTGAAGTATGCCGCACACCCGGCGCACGCAGAGGCACGTGGCGCATTTGGCGCACGAGGCGCGCCTGGCACGCTCGGGCCCCAGGGGTGCATGGCGCGCGTGGCGCGCCTGGCACGCGTGGCGCACCTCGCCACAGCGTCGCGCACATGGGCTCGGTCTTGGTTCCCAGCAGCTGTCCATCCAAAGACGCCTTTTGAACATGCTGAGTCTTGAGTGTTACTTATTTGTTGGGAGGGCGGGTGGGAGTGAGCAAGACGGCTTGCGGGCGGGTGGGTAGCTGGACATCAACGAAGTGCATGCCCCCTTTCTACGCAAGGTCCGCGTTGACACGGCTGCAGCTCCAGCGTGCGCGTTCAGGGCTGAACGCCGCCGAAGGCCCAGAGGCTCATGGCGCCAACATCGCAGAGCGGAATTCGTTCGGAAAACAATGGGTTGGGCCCGGATTTTTCCTGGAGAATTCCGATCCAGAGTTCGCAGTGAATTTCGTGCGGGTTCTTGTCGGCCAGGAACGAAGACTACAAGCCATCCACATGAAGTCCACTTCGTTCTTCGCTCGCCGTTTTTTTGGGTTTGGCATTGGCAGAGATCCAGGCCAGAATCCACTGCAGCACGTCTGCAAGCTCGGATGCAACTCCTGGGAGGTCAAATTCTGATGTAGCCCTGGTCCGAAATCCGGCTTAATCCGGCTTAATCCCGCTTGATCTGGCTTAATCCCGCTTAATCCGGCTTAATCCTGCTTAGTCCGAGGCCCATTCTGGCGTAACAGCTTTCAAATGGGGCTTAATCCTCCTTATTTTTTCCGACGAAAGCCTCCCAGTAGTTGCCTCCTAATGCAAGGTCGGCGCAGTGACGCGTCGACGCGGTTGCAGCCCCAACGTGGGCGTCCAGGGCCGAACGCCGCCGTTGGGGCCCAGAGGTCGGCCGATACCAAAGGATCTCTGCCGTCGGAACGCCGCGGCCGCCCCGGGTTGAGCGACCCACGCTGCGTCAGAGACCAATGCCGACGTCATGGCGTGAATTTGCGCGGAGGAATGGGGTGGGAGGAGGGGGGGAGGGGATGCTCAGAGGAGGAAGAGGCGATCATTCTGCACCCATCCCCTCGTTTTCCCCGTCCTGGGCCTCCTGGGAGGCCCTCGTCGCCACCGCTGGATTCGCCTCGAAATGCTGGTCAGAGCGAACCCCGGGAGAGGTCTGGGGGAGCAGCGGTGTCGGTACAGGCGGCCCGGATTAGTAGGTCGACCCTGCCAGATCAAGCGTACCCTCGTGTCCTGTGTCTTGCGACCCATGCCTCCTGCATTTCTGCGGCGACGTGGCCCTCGGAAGGGTCTCGTGTCCTCTCGCGTGTCCTCTCCAATCAAGTCCGGCTGTACCTCTTGATTTCCCGAGGGGGGGGGGGGGGAAAGGTCGGGGGGAAGGGGTGGGGAGGGGACGCGCCGAGGTGCCGAAGGTGGTCCTCGTCGGGGCCACCATGCCGAGCTGGAGGCTGATCGCGGGCTACCGCGAGGGGAAGGACGCCACCGGTCGATCCTCCGAGGTACTGGTTCGGCGACGAGCGAGGGGGGATTATACGCGAATCGACGAACATGCGGATGTTCGTAGATCTACGAACATTACGTATTTTCCCCACATCCAAAGCGGGATTCTTGTTTTCTCTGCGCACCCCCCGCGCAGGAACCTCACACCTCACCCTCTCTCCTCCTCTCCCGTCGCACACTCACCATCATCATCAGTCCCACGCGCACACGCACACTCACTCACAGTCAATCATCACTCACTCGTCATCACACTCACTCGATCACTTTCATTTAATTGGAGGAGGTCTCAGGCGGGAGCCTCGTCTGTGAGTGAATTGCGAGGAAGTCTCAGGCGGGAGCCCCCTCCATATGGGGCCTGCACTTCATGTTGGTAATCCGAGCGGGTCATCGGCCTCCTGCAACTCTCGTCACTTTTTGGCTCCTCAGCCCTGAATTTGGAGGAGGTCTCAGGCGGGAGCCTCGTCTGTGAGTGAATTGCGAGGAAGTCTCAGGCGGGAGCCCCCTCCGCATGGGTCTTGCACTTCATGTTGGTAATCCGAGCGGGTCATCAGCCTCCTGCAACTGTCGTCACTTTTTGGCTCCTCAGGCCTGAATTTGGAGGATGTCTCAGGCGGGAGCCTCGTCCGTGAGTGAATTGCGAGGAAGTCTCAGGCGGGAGCCCCCTCCGCATGGGTCTTGCACTTCATGTTGGTATCCGAGCGGGTCATCGGCCTCCTGCAACTGTCGTCATTTTTGGGCCTCTGAGGCCTGAAACTGGGGGAAGTATGAGGCGGGAGCCTCGTCTGTGAGTAAATCGCGAGGAAATCTCAGGGAGGGGCCCCCTATGGGTCTCGCACTTCATGTCAGTATTCCGAGCGGGTCGTCGGCCTCCTGCAACTGTCGTCACTTTTGGGCTCCTCAGGCCTGACTTTGGAGGAGGTCTCAGGCGGGAGCCTCGTCTGTGAGTGAATTGCGAGGAAGTCTCAGGCGGGAGCCCCCTCCCCATGGGGCCCGCATTTCATGTTGGTAATCCGAGCGGGTCATCGGCCTCCTGCAACTGACATCACTTTTGGGCCTCTGAGGCCTGAAACTGGGGGAAGTATGAGGCGGGAGCCTCGTCTGTGAGTGAATTGCGAGGAAGTCTCAGGCGGGAGCTCCCTCCCTATGGGGCTCGCACCTCACGTGCTTTCTCCTCGTCGTCCTCCGGCGTGCGCTTCCTCTGGGTCGTTCTCCGGCGCGTAGCCGCTGGGAAGCGCGTCGTGCGTTTCCTTCAGGTTGTTTTCCGCACGAGGAGGAGGAGTAGGCGGAGGAGGAGGAGGAGGAGGAGGAGGCGGAGGCGGAGAAGGAGGAGGAGGAGGAGGAGGAGGAGTTGGAGGAGGAGGAGGAGGAGGAGGAGAGGAGGACGAGGAGGAGGAGGAGGAGGAGGAGGAGGAGGAATGCCCCAGGAGGCCCAGGAGGTCCCGGGAGGCCCAGAAGGCCTTAGGAGTCCCAAGAGGCTCCAAGAGGCCCCAGGAGGAGGCAGGAGGCCTAAGGAGGAGGCAGGAGGAGGAGGAGGAGGAGGAGGAGGAGGAGGAGGAGGAGGTGGAGGAGGAGGAGGAGGAGGAGGAGGAGGAGGAGGACCAGTGTAAACCCAAGAGTCACTAACGATGTTGGAATTACCCTTCCCTCCAAGCTCTCTCATCATAGGCCCCTACAACGGTTCATTTCGATTGCTGGAATTGCCTCGTTGGAAGACAACCGTTTCACGATCTTGAAGAATGCAACCAAAATAGTACTCGGGATTCCAACGCCGCGTGTCAACCTGACTTCTGCGTCTTGACGATTCGGAATCGCGCCAGAGCGCCATTTTTGGGATTTCAACACCGCGAATCAACATAACGGTTGCACCCGCGTAATCTTGAACCCTTCCAACACACGATTTCTGGTGCGTTGATCATGGGATTATGTGAAACTCTTGCACAGTTTTAAAACGAATGCGCGCGGCGCGAAGGCCAGGGCCACATGTTGAAAACCACCCGCCCTCAATCCGTGAAACTCTTACAAATGTTTAAAACGAATGTGCGCGGCGCTAAGGCGAGAGTCATATTTTGAAAAGCACCCGCCCTCAATCCGTGAAGCTCTTACACGAGTGTGCGCGGCGCTAAGGCGAGAGCCACATTTTAAAAAGCAGCCGCCCTCCCTCCGTGAAGCTCTGGCACATGTTTCAAACGAACATGCGCGGCGCTAAGGCGAGAGCTACATTTTGAAAACCACCCGCCCTCAATCCGTGAAACTCTTGGAAGTTTTTTGAACCAATGTGCGCGGCGCTGAGGCGAGAACCACAATTTGAAAACGACCCGCCCTCCATCTGTGAAGCTGTCGTCACCATTAAAGCTTCAGAGTCATGAATTGTGAGGAAGTCTCAGGCGAACCCCCCAGCCCGCCCTAAACATTGGCCTCGGCGTGCGACAGGGAGGTAAGGAGAAGGAATGGAGGAGGAGGACGAGGAGGAGGACAAAAACGAGGACGAGGAGGACGAGGAGGAAGAGGAGGAGGAGGAGGAGGAGGGGGAGGAGGAGGGAGGAGGGAGGAGGAGGAGGAGGAGGAGGAGGAGGAGGAGGAGAGGAGGAGGAGGCGGAGGCTGAGGCGGAGGCGGAGGCGGAGGCGGAGGCGGAGCGGAGGCGGAGGCGGAGGCGGAGGCGGAGGCGGAGGCGGGAGGCGGAGCGGAGGCGGAGGCGGAGGCGGAGGCGGAAGCGGAGGTGGAGGCGGAGGCGGAGGCGGAGGCGGAGGCGGAGGCGGAGGCGGAGGCGGAGGCGGAGGCGGAGGCAGAGGCAAGGCGGAGGGAGGGAGGCAGAGGAGGAGGAGGAGGAGGAGGAGGAGGAAGAGGAGGAAGAGGAGGAGGCGGAAGGAGGAGGAGGGAGGAGGAGGAGAGGAGGAAGAGGAGGAAGAGGAGGAGGAGGGAAGAGGAGGAGGAGGGAGGAGGAGGAGGAGGAGGAGGGAGGCGGAGGAGAGGGGAGGAGGAGGAGGAGGCGGAGGAGGAGGAGGAGGCGGAGGCGGAGGCGGAGGCGGAGGCGGAGGCGGAGGCGGAGGCGGAGGAGGAGGAGGCGGAGGAGGAGGAGGAGGAGGATGAGGATTAAGAGGAAGAGGACGAGGAAGAGGAAGAGAAACACACATACTAATTATTAGTAATACTACCAAGCATCATAATAATATGCATAATACCCATATTACTAATGTAACTAATAAGAAGAACATGCATAATAACATGACCACGAATAAGACTACTAATAATAACAATGCGAACAACACTACTACTAATACTAAGACGAACAGGCATACTACTACTACGAATAATAATAATACTACTCAGAACAATAATACGGATACTAATCATAAGAATATTCATAATACCAAGAATACTACTAACACTATGAATAAGAATAAGAAATAATACGAATCATACTAAAACTGATACTACTAAGAATAAACATAATACTATTAATAATACTAATAAGGATAATACTAATAATACTAAGAAAAAGAAGACGAATACTATGAAGAGTACTAATATGAAGAAGAACAATACTAATAATAATAATAATAAGAAGAATAATAATACTACGAATAATGATGATAATAATAAGAATAAGAAGAATCATACGACTACTACGAATAATAAGAATCATAAGAAGAAGAAGAATAATACTAATAATATTAATAATAATAGTACTAATACTAATACTAATACTAATACTAATAATAATAATAAGAATAAGAATAAGAATACTAATAATAAGAATAAGAAGAAGAGGAGGAGGAGGAGGAGGAGGAGGAGGAGGAGGAGGAGGAGGAGGAGGAGGAGAGGAGGATGGAGAGGAGGAGGAAGGCAGGAGGAGGAGGAGGAGGAGGTGGTAGGAGGAGGAGGAGGAGGAGGAGGAGGAGGAGGAGGAGGAGGAGGAGGAGGAGGAGGAGGAGGCAGGAGGAGGACCAGGCTGGAGGAGAAGGGAGCGGCAGGAGTAGGTGGGAGAAGGGAGGGGGCAGGAGGATATCCCCAGGCAAATTAAACAGATTCTCATGTGGGGTCGTACCGTCGACGCAATTTTTGGTTTCCTTCCAGGAGAACATCGAGTTTGGGGTAAATCAACTGTGTAGTCGATCCCCTACTCGACTGGTGTCTCGGGGCAGACGATCGCTCGACGCGTTTCGCTGCCGGTTCGGTTCGGTCCGGGCCCCGCGTCTCCTCCGCGGCGGCGCCCGCGCGCCCTCGCCGCTCTGCGTGCCGAGGAGATGGCCGAGGCGGAGGCCAGGCGCGTGGCGGGCAGCAGCGCCGTGCTGCTGCTGAAGCCCGGGGCCGGGCGCCCGGTCCTGCCGGCGGGCGCCCGGCACTCTGGGCCTCCTGGATGGGGTCGGAGGTCGGCGACTACAGATAGGGGGCCACATGTCAAACGACGCGAAGATCGGGACAAAATCGGATCGGGATAACTCGAAATCTCTGAGCATCGGCGGGTTTGGAGGCTGTATTGGGCGCCGCGGCCGCTCCAAAGCGTTCCGGAACGCTCTGAGAGCGCTCCGGCACGCTCTGGAGCGATTTATCCCGATCCTAGCCCTGTTGTAACAAATAGAGAGCCACATGCGAACCCTACCCCTAACCTCCACGATTTCTGAGGGGGAGGGTGGGATTCGCTAACAGAGGGGTATGTTTACGCCAGGGTGTGGTTTGCGATCGGTACCGTCGGGGCACGGGGGGCTGTCCTCGTTGGGCCTCCTCGGGGCGCGGCGGAGAATTCCGTCGAGGTCCTCGCCCGCCCCCTAGGGTGCCCCTCAGGGAGGGGGTTGCGAACCACACCTTCTGCAAACCATACCCTTCGGAGTCGCCGAGGAGGAGATGTGGTCGGAGAATTGCGCCGCATCGCCGGTGCAGAGCCCGATCTTCTCCACGCCGGCGTCGCCGCTGGGTCGCCGACGTCGCCGACGCATCGCCGGTGCATCACCGATGCATCGCCGATGCATTGCCGATGCATCGCCGATGCGGCGCGATCCTCCAGCCCCATCTACTCCGACCCCATCTAGGAAGCCTCTAATTGCGAGCTGGAGCCTCTGGAGTCGCCCCCCCGGCTCGCCATAAGCACTAACAGCGCTCGAGCTCTTCCCGAGTGAGATCTGCACAGGGCGTCCTGAACCGATCTGGGCAGGAGGGGCCGTTGGCGAGTGCGATGCCTGTCGGGTTTCCCTTGGCCCCCCCCCCCTGGTTGCTTGAGGGATCGCCCCCAGTCCTGCAAGAATTTCGGCTTCACTGTTGCGTTTAGCTTGCTCTACTGTTTGGCTATCTGTCACTTCAATTTAACTTGCCTTTCCGCCTGCACATAGCTTGTCTCTAACCTGTATTTTAGCTCGCCTCCTGAGTCCCTTTCGCCTGCCTTCAGTTATCTTTGGCTTGCATGCTGATTGCTTTGAATTGTGTAAACGTGGCTTGTCCAGGTTCGCTTGTCCTTGGCTTGCCACCAGCCTGCCTTTAGCGTGCTTCTGGTTTTCTTTAGCGTGTTGATCATTCACCTTCCTGTTACTTGCTTCTAGCTAGTTTTGGGGTTGCTTCTAGCTAGCCTGCATCTCGCCTCTTTCTTGTTTTCTCTTCCTTTATATCTGCTTCATTTTCCTCAGTCAGTCTTGATCTTTCCTCGGGCTTGTTTTCGTTTGCAGTTAAGCACACCCTCAGCGTGCATTGAAGTTTGCTATCCTCTTGCGTCTGCCTGCCTTGCCGTTACCTTGTGTTTCGAGCGTGTTTGTATTTTCATCATCCGCATGCTAGCTTGCCTTTACTGTGCTTCTCACTTGCCCCGCTCTTTCTGTCGGTTCCCTTGAGAGTGTCGCGAAATGGATTACATTACGCCCATAAGTGAACTTTCGTGTTTCTTTTCAGCTTGCTTTGTGGTCTTATGGGTGCCTTTCCTCAGAGGGGAGACTTCGGACTTTGGTTGCGTGCTGTCTGTACTGGATAATGCTCTGTGACTTCTCTGCGCCGTGCGCCCCTGACAGCGCTGCGAGTATGACGTCAAGACCCGAGTCTGCAAGCTTCTCCAACGCGATCTGAAGCCGCAGACCTCCGAATGCAAACACATACACAGAAATACCGTCAGATCGTTTCTGGCCTCGCCAGAGACCTTTCTGGGCGACTCTTCGGCCTCTTGGGACATCTTGGAGCCTCTGGGGGGTCGTTGGGCTGCCTTGGGCTGCCTTGGGCCAATCTGCAGCCGTCTTTGACATGGTTTTCGGCTGTCTTGAGGTCGGTCAGATCGCTGGGGAGCGAAACTGGGGGTGGTGGCTCTCAGGGGGTGCGTGCTGCGAGGAGGCTGAGGCGGTGCGTCTCTAGGCAGTATCGAACGCCTACCATAACTGACAGATTCTTGAGGCTTCGCGTACCTCCACCATCCCATCCAGAAACCATGCCGAGGCGAGTTGCCTTGATTAGGGAAGTGTCGGAACAATCAGTGGAACAAGCAAGGAGGACAGTTGCCAAACCGAAACCTGGGATCAGCCAGAGAATACCCAGTGACCCACCACAAGTGCCTTCGCTTATCTTTCGATCTGTGATCCTTCTTGCAGCCTGCTTGGGCAGTACTTGGGACCTCTTGGGAGGCATTCTATCCTTGGAGGCGTTTGGGGCTCTCATGGAGCCCTCCTGGGGCTCTTTTAGGGCCCTCGCGGGGGCCTTGGGGGCCCTCGTGGAAGCATCTTGAAGGCGATCGATCAAATACGGGGGTTCTTCAGTAACGTCCCCCCGTCGGAGCTCTAAGCATCGCTTCTTGGACCCTGCGTGGGCGCTCTTAGGGCAGCAGTGTAATTTTGGGACACTGAGCCCCTCTTGGGGCTCCATTCGGCTATCTTGGAGCCAGCTCGAGGCCTCAGAAACCCATCGGGGTCGAAACGGCGGGACGGCCGACTGCATGGATGTTCTTTAGGTCTGAGAGAGACTTCGGCGCCCCGGGGCGCGTTCGGGATGCCCTGTGGCCACTTGGAGCCGTGCGGCATGTTTGAGGCTACTCATCCACCTCCTCCTCCTCCTCCTCCTCTTCCTCCTCCTCCTCCTCTTCCTCCTCCTCCTCCTCATCCTCCTCCTCCTCCTCATCCTCCTCCTCGCCATCTTGGAGGCCATCTTGGAGGCCATCTTTGAGGCCACCTTGAGCTATCCGAAACCATACTGGAGCCATCTTGGCCCAACAGCCTCCCAGAGATGCCCGAGCCGTAATGCCAACATCCATCAACCACTTGAGGCGTTCCAATGGTCTTAGCTTTGAACGGAGATAGGGGGTCTTAACTAGAGCCCCCCGTCGAGCCCTTGCAGCGCCTCTTCTGGCCATCCTGGGGCCTTATTTGGTAGCTCTTGGGGCGCTCTTCGGGCCCCTCTTCGGGCCCTCTTGGGTTACGTTTTGGGCCCCTCTGTGGGCTCTCGTGGGTCATGTTGGACCTTCATAGGGGCCGAGAAGCCCATCGGAAGCGAAACGGCGACAACGCGAGAACGCTGCCTGTGGGTTTTGGAAGGATTTGGGGCTATCGAGTGCGTCCTTAGGAGACTCTAGGTCCAGTTGGAGCCGTCTTCTGGGGCGGTCTTGGGGCCTCTTGGATGCATGTTGGAGGGTAAGTATCTACTTTGTGCAATCCTGGAGGCCATCTTGGGCTATTAGGAGCCTCTTGAAGCCATCCTGGACGCTTCAATGCCTCTCGACATCTTCTGTCCAGACCCGGGGGTGGAGGTGAGGGAAAACATGGGTTTGGAATACTGAGCTCACTACGCCCTAAAGGGCTGGTGGGATTCTGACACGGCCCAGTGAGCTGGGAGCACGGCGGCGGGTATTGTGCAAGGCTACGCCGATGCGCGTATTGTATGCATCTAAAAATCGTGCAGATCACACCGGACTGCGGTGCGTGCAGTACGTGCGGAGCGTTTGCCGCGGGGAAGCGCAGCCTGGACTCTAGCTGTGAGTATTCTCATGCCCATGTGCCTGTCCTTCATGCACCCTGAGTTAGCCCGCCGAGACCTAGGCACTCTGGATGGCACCATAGCATTCTGGGCGGGGGGACGGGCGCGTGCCGTCGGGAGGCGTTTTTTTTGGGGGGGGAATGTCAGTTCTGAAGATCAAGAGTCTGGGACAGGGGGGTGGCCGAATGGCGTCGGCAGTCTCCGATGGGGGGGGAGTTGTTTTTTGGGGGGGGTGGGCGGCGGTGGGCTGGGGGGGAGGTGAGTGCGCTCCGTCGGAAGGTTGGGCGCCCCCCGATGATATGCCATCCAGCGTGGTGTATGGGCCTCCGGTTGGTCTCTCTCCTTCTCGTTGGTGCAGGTGAGCTGTACTCCACAACGCCTTTGAGTGCTACGTATCTAGGCCGTTGCTGTAGGATCCACTCCCCATTGGGGGAATCTCTTGTTATCTTTCAGATCTGGGACGGGGAGAAGGAGGAGGAGGAGGAGGAGGAGGAGGAGGAGGAGGAGGAGGAGGAGGAGGGGGGGGAGGGGGGGGAGGAGGAGGAGGGGAGGAGGAGGAGGAGGAGGAGAGGAGGTGGAGGAGGAGGAGGAGGAGGAGGAGGAGGAGGGAGGAGAGGAGGAGAGGAGAGAAGAGGGAGGAAGGGAGGATAGTGAAGGGGGGGAGGGGAGGGAGGGAGGAGGAATGAGGAAGGAGGAATGAGGAAGGAGGATGAGGAAGGAGGAAGGAGGACGGCCGAAGGAGGAAGGAGGGAGGAAGGAGGAATCACAAGGAGGAGGGAAGGAAGTAGGAGGAGGGAGGAGGAGGGGAGGAGGAGGAGGAGGAGGAGGAGGAGGAGGAGGAGAAGGAAGAGGAGGCGGAGGCGGAGGCGGAGGCGGAGGCGGAGGCGATGGCGGAGGCAGAGGAGGAGGCGGCGGCGGCGGAGCAGGAGGCACAGGAGGCGCCAGGCATGTGTCTCTGGGGGGCGGTAGCTGCGCGGTCGTGCTGCTGCACACGCAGAGGGTGCCTGCACGCCGCCACGCCTGACCGCGGACGCTCTGGGCCCCGGGAGTGGCGCTCAGATCTCCAACGTCGTGAAATCGACTATACGCACGGGTGACCTTTCGCCGCAGTGACCCTTGGTGCGGGCACACATCGGGGGTCAGTGCAAACGGCGGTCAGTCAGAGCGACGGATCTTGCAGGATCCTGCAGAGCCAGGGGCGCAACGACCTGGGTTTGGGTGCAGGATCCTGCAGGATCCTGCAAAGCCAGACTGAGCCGGGTCTGGAGTGACCCGGTTCAGCAGTCGGGGGTGGACAGAACCCCCACCCTGACACGTCGATTAGTGAATTGTCCGTTTTCGGTTCTCGAGAGGGCGCCGCGGCCGTCATCTTTCA